CAAACACGCTAAAAATTTATTGATTTATACTGTAATATCCAAACGACGGGTTTTTTTTTGCAAGTTCGTTTAAAATGTCTTCGACAGCTGGGGTAAATTTTCTATGAATGCTTAAGAGCGCCAATCCATTCATTCTATTATTTCCCGTTGAGTTGCGTAAATAAGTCTTCAAACGGCGCAAAGTCGAAAAGGATCTTTCGTTTGCACTCGTTGAAACAGGTAGAACGACCAATATTTCTAGGAGTTTGAAAATGTTTGGTGTTATATCTTTATTGCACATTCCAAGAGCATCCGCCGCAGTTTTTGGAACACTACCTCCGTCTTCACTAATCCTTTTTAATCTTTTATACCAGAGTTTTAGTTCAGACTTAAGGCTTTCTTTACAGGTATCCAAATCTCCAGCGTAAAATTCCACTAATGCTTCAAAAGCCTTTATGTTTGAAGGTTGGCAAATGAAAGGATCGGCAGGTAGAAGACACTGAAATCCTTTTAAAATATCCCGATGCGATACAAATCTTAAGTCTAATTGTGTTATAAAATTTTCTATGAATGGAATAAAAACACTAACTCTGAAATATGTTTCGGGTGTCGATGAGGTAAAATTATCGCGATTTTTCTGTATCCCGTTACTCTAGGGATTTGCATCCAATGCTTGTTAACATAAGAGAAGAAGAGCTGAATATACCAGAGAATGTTTCAGTGGCATTTTCACGCATTAATTTTAGATCTTTAATGACATCTTTTGCAAGACTCACTGCCTCTATCAAATCTATGCTTGGTTTTTGTAGCTATCTACAAAGATGGATTGTTATGGTGAAAACTTTGTAAATTGCACAAAAGAGATATTACGAACTTGCAATTAGATACTGTGCACAGTAAAGAATTAGCTTGGGTAGCTGATTCCTTATCCCACCATTCTGATATTTTTTGTAGTGTTTCAGCGATAGGCTCGAAAAGTTCCATCACAGCGGTTACTGGGTCGTATCTTTCCATCCAACGGGTTGCACATAGCTGTTTAATTTTCTCCCTCTTAGAGCTGGTTTCCATCTCCTCTATTGCTGAAGATAGGACATACTGTCTTTTTGGCGTATTTAAAAAGTCGTATAATGTTTTAATTGTCCCTAAGCAATTTCTAATGCCAGTTATTTCGCATGCATTTGATACAGCCAAATTGAGGCTATGAGCAGAGCAATGTACATAGAGTGCTGATGGGACAATACTTCTTACGTGGGCTTGTACACCATTAATTTTTCCTCTCATTGATGCAGCACCACCGTACCCCTGTCCGCGCAACTTTTTTATATCAACTTTCATAGACTGTAATTGGTCTAACATTGTTGTTGCTATTGCTTTTCTGGTTAAGTCCTGCACAGGAATGAATTGCAAAAACTGTTCGGTGATGTTAAAATTTTTTTTAATCGACATATCGAACGCAAAACGATAATTGCTCTATACCTGCAATATCAGTTGTTTCATCTGCAAGAATGGAAAATCAAGTTGCATCATTAATCTTGCTGACTAGTTTTTGCAGGATTAAAATATTGCAAACCTCAATAACTACGTTCTGAAATCGAAGGGTGGTATGCTGTGCATTTTTTCTGCTTGACTCTAAAATGTTCTTAAGAGTCGAATCGTTTTTACTCCGGAAACGAAGCAATGCCCGAAAACTTTTGTCGTTCTCTACACCTGGTTGTTAAGCAATTATTCCCTAATCTTTATGTCCTCTTTGGTAATTTTCTTAATTTCAGTTTTAATATTGCAAGAATCAAGTAGTGATCTGATCCAACCAAAGAAGACGGGACATAAAAGAATAAGCTATGACATTGCTAAGTTAAAAGCCAAAGAGTGCAGACAAGAATTTTCAATCGAGTTGAAAAACAGATTTGAGCTGTTAAAGGAAGAAGAAAATCATGGCAACACTAAGCAATCAGAAAATGAGGTAAAAGAAAAAGTTGAAGAGACTTGGGAACATATCAAAAACATTTATTGCGACGTAGCAGAAAAAGTGTTGGGTAAAAAGAAAGGAAAGAAAAGCAAAGAATGGATTACGGGTGAAACATTAATACTAATTGAAAGCAGAAGGAAAAAGAAAATACAGATGGAAACTACAAAGTCTGAAAGATTATTTAATCGGTATAGACAGCAGTATAGTCAAATTGATAGAGAAGTAAAAAAGTCAGCCAGAAAAGACAAAAGGAAATATTTCACAGACCTTGCCACTGAGGCTCAAGATGCAGCGCAAAAAGGACAAATAAGTACTTTCTACCAGAAAGTGAAACAAATAAAAGGAAATAAACGAAATTCGCAATGTGCAGTACGAGACAAAAACAATAAGTTACTTACTACGGATTAGAGGATCGAAGAAAGATGGAGAAAATGTTTTGAAGATACGCTTAACGCACACCATGTTGAAAATTCTGAGCAACTCCCAAATGTTACATTAAATGTAGCATCTACTGTAGATTTTTCTTTAGAAGATATCTCGCTGGATGAGATACAGAGTGCCCTGAGGGCCACAAAACCAAAGAAGGCTGCAAGGAGAGATGCAATCGTGGCAGAGATGCTTAAGGCAGATGTTGAAACCACTACAAGACAGTTGCAAAAGCTCTTCAATGAAATCTGGAGAAATGAAAGAATACCAGAACAATGGAAAGAAGCTGTAATAGTGAAAATTCCCAAGAAAGGCGATCTAACAAAATGCGAAAATTGGAGGGGCATTAGCCTACTTTCCATACCGGGAAAAATATTTGGAAGAATAATTTTGAATAGACTAAAACATGAAATTTATGGAATTTTAAGAGAAGAACAAGCAGGTTTCCGCAGTGGAAATGGAACAATGCAGCAAATCTTCACACTTAGAAATATCATCGAGCAAAGCTTAGAATTTAACACCTCTTTATATTTAAACTTTATTGATTTCAGTAAAGCCTTTGATTCAGTTAAGAGAGAGAAATTATGGGAAATTTTATCACATTATAATATACCAGAAAAATATATCAACATAATCAAAGATATGTATGATAACAGCAAAGCATGTAAAGTAGTAAATGGAGAATTAACTGAATTCTTTTTAGTAAAAACTGGAGTGAGACAGGGATGTGTTTTATCGGGATTTTTATTTATACTGGTGATAGACTGGATTATGCGAAACAGCTTGAAAGATGAAAAAAGAGGAATAAGGTGGAATTTCACAACTAATTTAGAAGACCTTGATTTTGCTGATGACATCGTACTTATTTCATCCAAATGTACAGACCTTCAGCTTAAAACAGACAAATTCAACAAATATTCAAATAGTGTAGGTTTATTCATGAACAAGAAGAAAACTAAAGTTATGAGAATAAATCAAAAGAAAAATGACAAAATTAAAATCGAAAATCACGAAATAGATGACATAGAGTCATTTAGCTATTTAGGTTTTACTGTAGATAAAAAAGGTGGAAGTAGTGAAGATATTAGACAGAGAATAATCAAAGCACGAACATGTTTTAAGGGATTACATAAATTTTGGAGAGAGTCAAATATTGAAATAAAGACAAAAATAGTTGTTTACAAAGCTATTGTTAGAGCAGTACTATTATATGACGCAGAAACCTGGAAACAGACTAAGATCGAAA